TTACCTTGTGGCAGCTATGAATAATGTTGTTATGAGCATTGTATAAATGGTCATAGGTATTTTTTTTTAGCAGTAACAGAATAATTCCAGCATTTTTCTATTCTGAACATGAACCTAAAACAGCCTTCCATTTCCTTCCCAGGATACCCCCATTTCTACCAACCTCTTTGCTCCAAGAGGCCAAATATTTTCTAGCAATTACCCTCTGGATGAGAGGGTCTGGATAGAGGGTCATTACTAGAAAAATAATAATGCCATTTCCAAATGTTACCACTGACTTTACCAGGATAGCAATAGGTTGGGGAAGGACTGGGGAAAAAGTGGAGAAAGGCAAAGCAATTGTGTACCAATTTTTACTTCAAAATGTAGTTTCAAAAGTAAGGTATAAATCTTTGGTGATGTGCTACCCAATGAAGTGTTAAAAATAGGCATGTTGAAGAAGGTTTTCCCATTGAGGTGAAAGATAACATTGATTTCTTTAGCCATTGAGCTATCATTAGACATTTTCTTCCTGGAACATACACTCAAAGAGTTCAGGGACTTTCTGCTCCCTCTCCTCTCTCTAGGAGAGAACCCATAATAGGCACTCAATAAATATTTATGAAATAAGTGAGTAAAATGAATGATTAGAAGAAGCCCTTAGTAAGTCTTAAGCACTGTGCAAGATGCATGGAGTGTCAAATAACACCATCTCCGCCTACATAATGCTTAAAACTAAGTAGGGAATTAGAAACACACCATGAGATAGCTGTAAACAAACTGTAATGGATGTGCAGAGGAAGGAAAGATTACCTCTTAGGGATGGTAAGGGAAGTTATGAAGTGAAGATGGTTAGTAGGAAAAGCTTTGACAGAAAATTGAATTATGTAACATGGGGACAATCAAAGTCATGGTGACAGAAAGCAGCATCACAATGAAGTATGGTTTTTAGAACTTTCATTCTGTTCAATAAACTTCAATTTTTTTTACTTAATTTAAACTTCACAGTATCTTTCATTTGCCCATCTCCAGGAGGAAATAATCATTCTTTATATTTCAGATAAGGAAATAAGCACAGTAATTAACTGCTAAATCCTGGCTATAAGTCTAGGCTTTCAGAACTCATAATTGGTTATTCCAACAAATAGATTGCATTCTTATGTTTTCATTGGCTTTTTTTGGGCTGACACTTAAGATGTAAGTATAGGGGAGGAGAAAAAGAAAAAAAAACAGAAAACTCTGCAAGGTTAAAGTACTGGAATAAATCAGGGGGTATTACTTTTTTTTTCTACATTTCCAAAGAACTTTACCATATTTTAAGTACAATTGCTTGTACAGAATAATTATTTTATTCTTTTTAGTTCCTAAAAATTAAAAAAAATTAAGTATAATTGTTCTTGGACAGAATATTAGGGTAGAAGTTGTAGAGAATAATATAAAAACCTTGATCACTAATTGTTAATTTTATTATGATTCTTTCATGCCTTTCTTTATGTTTTTAAGTTTGACTACAAATGTATATTTATGAGCTCTGTTTTTAAAATAATTTGGATGAATATTTTGAACAAAGATCCTCGTTTAAAATATTATTCAACTGAAATGTGTTCTAATGTTTTCTTGCCTATAAGAATCCTTGTTTTTTTTGAAAATAATTCATAATCAATTTAGGTGCAAAAAAACCCATATTTCTAACAAGAAGAATTATGAACTAATGAAAGAAAATACATGGCAAAGAGTGCTTTTATTTTTATGGATGGAAGAAGATATGAATTAAAGAGATGCTCCAGGTGAGCATCAATGTTTATATTCTTCTGACAATGTGAGTTTGATGGACATCAGAAGATTACTGGAACAGTTTTAATGGTAGCATGAATCCCAGCAATAGGCCAGCTTTTATTTATGTTTATAATAATTTGATTTTTAAAGGTAGGCTACTATCAACACTACATTTAAAAAGCATTGACATTTCTCATGTTTGGGATTAAAATGTTGATCTGTACCTTGAGTTGTCTGCATGGATTAAAAATCCAAGGTTCATATTTATTTCCAGCAACTATATGTATGAGAAAGACTCATAAAAGGAACAGAATTTAAAAATAATAGAGTTGAAAAGGCCTAGAGATTGGTATCAACTCCTACTTTAGTTTGCCAACAGATGTGATGGTTTATTTTATGTGTCAACTTGGCTATGTTATCTATGATGCCTGACTGTCTGGTCAAACACTAGAATGGATGTTGCCATGAAGATGTTTATGGATGAGATTAGCATTTACAACTGTTGACTCTGGGTAAAGCAGATTACCTGCTATAATAGGGGTAGGCCTCATCCAATCAGTTGAAGGCCCTCAGAGCAAACACTGACATTTACTGAAGAAGCTATTCTACCTCAGGACTAAAACATACAACTCCTTCCCAGCTTTTGCCGCAAATTTCAGACTTGCCAGCTCTCACAATCATGTGAACCAATTTCTTAAAACAAACCTCTTTCTCTCTGTATATACTACTGGTTCTGTTTTACTGGAGAACTCTAATACAGTGGCCAAACTAAAACCCAGATTAATTGTGTGATTTTTCCTGATGTCATTTAGTAAATGATATGAGGACTTGTGAGAGAAAGATGAGGAACTTAGGTAATAAAATATTATTCAAAATATTGATTACAGGCCAAGAAAGAAATTTGGAACTATCAACTTTCAGCCTTGTCTTTCCTGGTAGATTACATGCTCACAATATTAATGGCTAATGTTAGCATAAAATACAACACATTTAAAAATCCCAGTATTCAAAGCAGATAAAAGAGAGAAGGAAGGTTTCTGTGCTTTCCCAAAAGACAGTGTGTGATTCTTTACAGAAAGAGTTTTTTTCTACATTTAAGGTGGTTCAATAATTATTTTACCCTCTTGAAAAAGAATAGTTTAAAAGGCTAGGACTGGCTAGGAAAGACAGGTAAACACAAATATCTTGTTATTTCAGTGAACATGCATACACTCTCTTGAAAGCTTCACTACAAATCTCTCAGTTTTAATCATCATCTTATAATGGAGAAAATGAGCCTTTGGAAAATAAAGAGTTTGCTCAATCTACTCAGAATAAGAGCAACTAACTCTCAGATCTAACTTTTCCGTGTTTCCCTGCAATGATACCCTAAGAGTAACAACATTAGTCAGAAGGGTATTTATTACAGGTCTCTTGACTAAGAATCCTATGGAAAAAAATAAAATTATCATTTTAATTAAAAGGATATGTGGGTTCTGTTGTGCTAACATGAATATTAAGATTCACTAGGGGGAAAAATTCCAGTACATCTCATTCTCATTCCAAAAGATAACCCTACTATGTCTTCTTGAAGATATGAACTGATTCTATAAGGAGAATGGAAAATTTGACCAAAATGATACAACATTATCTTTCTTTTCTCCATCTTTTCCACACTGTTCCCCAATTGATGGTGAATATTCCTTAGTCTTAGCATCCTTGTACAAAATAAGTAGGCTCTAGGGTTTAAAAATGCCAAATGGATTTGCTGAACTGAAATGATTTTTCTCATGTTTCATATCTCTCTCTCTCTCTCTCTCTCTCTCTCTCTCTCTCTCTCTCCAACCTTGATTTTTATTTCTCCAACCCAAGAATTTCCTTTGGGAAAAGAATTTATATACCACTGGATGTAAGAATAGGAGCACCTTTGTTTCATCTCCATTCTCTGGACTGCAAAGGCCCAACACACTTTAAAATTTTTTATTTTATTTTTTTTAGTCTTAGATGAACACAAATCTTTATTTATTTTTATGTAGTGCTGAGGATCTAAAGCATTGCCTCAAGTGAGCTAGGCAAGTACTCTACCACTGAGCTACATCTAATCAATCTCTATATATTCCCACTCAGGCCACCTGGCTTGTCTCGGAACATGAATAAGACTTGATCTCTCTCCTCTTTCTCATTGGAAAGTATGTGGACCCAGTTCTTTGGAGACTCAGTGAGAGATTTCTCCTGAGAGAGAAATATCTTTCTAGGCTGCCAAGAAAAAAAAGAAAAAAAGGAAAATTCAGACAATCACATAGATCACTTCAAATGGTGCCGGACACATTTCACCAAATGCTGCAGGCAGTCATTACAGCGTGCCATTGGGAGATGTGGTGGTTTTCTTCCTGCATCAGGCTTCAGTCTTGCCCTGAGTGCCCTGAAACCAAGAGAGAGGCCAGAGGCAGCTTTCTCTGTAGAAATAACAGATCTCCCGCTATCTGGTGCAATGCTTCTTTACTACCAAGTGTCTGAAGCAGGGTTCCAGGGATAAGTAGGAACCATCTAGAATTTACTGCCCTTCCCTGACACCACAGTTGTCAGCTATTCCAAGAATTAGGCAAATTGGTAACCAAAGACCACCATTTTGTATAAGCAGGGTTGTGGGCTCTTCCCGAGGAAATTCATATCCAGAAAGCTTCCGGAAAGGAAGACTCTTCACTAAGAATGGAAAGTCCTGAGAATCAGCGTAAAGCTCTGGCCCTCAGGAGACAGTTACACCCCCAAAGTATGCTAGGATTCTAGGTTCAACCCCAAGATTGTCACTCATACAAAAAGGACCAGGAAGTCACACCAGTGGACGGAGAAAGACCATGGACAGAGCAAGACCATGGACAGACCGGCGGGGTGCATCAAGTTAAAAAAATAAAATATAAAAGGCTAATAATAAGAAGCCAAGGAAAGCTGCAGAATGGCGAGGAGAGGCAGAGCCGCCGAGGAGGAGTGAGACTGGAGGAAAGAGTCAGGAGGGAGGGGAGAGCGAGGAGAGCTGAGCGCGGACGTCAGGAACAAAAGCTCCGGCGGAGTCTGGCGGAGGCACCGAGGGAGCACGGGGTGTTTTGAATAATTATTAAAATTAGCATGTGTCTGCGCCATCCTGTGGGTGTGGCGCAGAGCGGAGTGTAAACTCTAGCGGGGCTCGAGCAAACATTGGATTCGCGCTAGCAGCCAGCCAGCCTGCCCGAGGAGTGCGGGGACCAGCTCGCGGCACGTCGACCAGCACGATGGCCTCGTCTCAGGGGAAAAACGAGCTGAAATTCGCCGACTGGATGGCAACTCTGCCGGAGAGCATCCACAGCATCCCCCTCACCAATTTAGCCATCCCAGGTAGGCGCGCGGAGGCTGCTCGCCCAGCGCTGGGCGCCCGCTCCACCTGCCCCGCCCTGCTTTATCTGCCACTAAGTGGGAACTTGCCACGATGCCCGCGGGAGGGAAACTCGTCTTCAGGGGTGGGTCTCAGGCCAGGAGAGTGCCTGCCTGGTGACCTCGGGCTTCCGGGCATTTTCCGAACCTCTGGGGACCGTGGCGCCAGGAGTCAAGGTGACTGCTTCCCCCCAGGGTTATGAAGCAGGCTGTTGGCGCAGGACTGGGGTAGGAAAGAAGCCGGGCTTTAGGATGGCGCCTCGTGCCCCCCTCCCATGATTTCCCCTGCAGATTTGGGGAGCACAGGGCGGTTTCTGAAGCTGAGGGGTGATAGTGCGCGGTGAGTAAGAGCTGGTGTCCGAGGGACTCTGCTCCCGCGAGTGGACCTGAGTCTATCCCTAGCAGGGAATGGAACAGATTTGGTAGATTCTCGGTGAAAACCTACTCGAGTCATTAACATTCGTTCCCAGACTCCTTTAAAAAGACAAAGCGCTTCTCAAGAGTGATGAAAGTTCAGGGACAGGCGGCAGCGTGATCGCTGCCCTTGACAGAGAGCTGAAGGGGGCGAGAAGCTTGCACCGTCTCCTGATCTGCGTGTACTCTCAGGACCTGGCCGAGKGGCCACCATCTGGAGTCTGGTCCAAGTGCACGTTAGCAACGTTAAGGCACTCGGATCAAGAAAGCAACCCCGTGCCAGCCTGGCGTTTGCTGCTCCGGACAGAAACTGGGCATGGGGACCTGCGTGAGCAGGGGCGGAGGGGTGGGATTAATGCGCAAATGGTGGGAGAAAGGTGAGTGAGCCGAATCCAAACAGCTTAGAAGGAAGGAAGCATGGGGGGGAAAAAACGAAGAAAAGACGTGGGGTATCAAGAGGTTTCAGTATGGCGCGCGCGACTTGGACTAGAGCACTCGGCAGGTTTCTGGGTTGGGGGAGAGCGCGCAGCCGTCCCTAGCTCCAGTAGCCATTGAGGGTGGGTCTTTTCAGGACAGTTTACAAGGATGACAGCTGGGAACCCGGCCACACTTCCCTAGCAATTTGGCTATGCACATGGACTGAGGGAGCGCACACCTGATCCTTTCAGGACCTGGCTGGAGGGCAGTTTCCGGATAGAAGAGAACTGGGTTATTAAATTTAACCTTCTGGACTACCTCGTCTTGGTCTGCCCCATCCAGCGCCCTTCTCAGCCACTGATGGAAGACGTTATATATAAAGAAAGAAAGGTGGGGGGCTAACCCAGGAAAAAAAATGCGGGGGGGAGTTCTCCTGAAAACCCCAAGAAGATCCAACAAACAGTGCTGAACTTGATCAGTAACTCAAATCAAGGGTTGTTGGTAAAGTGGGTGTTTGGTGGCTATAAAACACACTGGCTGCCCTGAGTGCCTTCTACAGAAAGGGTTGTCTCTTTTTGCTCTTCTTCAACACCTGTCTTCCCAAGGGCCTAGAGATCCCCAAGGGAAAGAATAACCCAGCTTCTCCACTCTGCACTTATTCGCCTACCTGGCTGAGCCTGGGGATTGCTCTTTTGAAGGAGATAGTAGAAAGTACACAACTTTGTTGGCAAAASTCCACTATCACTTACACAGGCATTCTTATCCCTTTTCTTCCTCTATTTTTATTTGAATTTTAGACAGTTACTTTCACTTGGTCTAACCTGAGTTTCTTTTTCTTTTTTTAATCCACACATAGAAGATAAGAAGGGCAAGGACTGAGATGGCAGGTTTTTGATAGGGTATTCTCCAGAGATTAAGGAAAATTAAAAGACTAAGTTGGTATAAATAGTAATGAGTGTTGATACCACATCCGAATCTACCTTACATTTCTGTAATACTGCACTTTTCATAGTCCTGGTATGTATTTCAACTCACATCCTCCCCCAAATCTGTGAAGTAGACAATACTGTATTATTATCTCCTTTTCCTAGATGAAAAAAAAAAAAAAAAACCGAGACAGTGTAGGCAAATGACATACAATCAGGTCAGTAAACTGACCCTTAAACTGGATGTTAAGGAAAATCTTCTAGGAATTTTGGAGGGAAATGCTTTATGATTTGTGTCTAGATGATTCAGCACCAACAGGTACTAATCAGCATGAGTAGACTATAAACTAGGCATTAGCAAGAACAGGATAAATCTGCCAGGTGGGCAGGGAGGGGAAACTTGAGGTCTAAGAGTTTGATATTCTGGAGATCTTTGAGAAGAGACATAAAGATGATGGCATTGGAATGCCACGGGAGCTTCTACTGCTTTCCCCAACCCTGTTAGCATGATACTCAATGTGACTCCACTGCAAAGTCTCCCAAATTCACCAAAGTACTTCTGAGAAATACACACATCAACACACAACATATTTTACCAAATCTATACTCCTAAATACTCCCATAACTCTGTAGATATGGCATGTTTGTGTGTATGTGATATATCTATATCTATATATACATATGATATATTCATATTTATCTATATATATCACATAAACACACATATATGACAGATCTCTCCCTCTCTCTGTCCCTCTCATTCTCTCTCCCTCCCTCCTCTTTCTCTATATATACATATATATATACACACAGACATACATATATATCACCAAGATTAAAAATAGGTTTAGTACTTTTCTGCATTACTCAACACTGAAAATTTTTGGAGGAAAGAAGACATTCAAACTTAGATAGTCAGAGAAGACTAATTGGAGACTATTAAACACTAATGGAATAATTGCCTTAAAATCATGCTAATAGCTTCCTGGCTGCTACATGTTTACTTGGCCAGTTGCTACAGCTTGAATTAAGCAATTATCTCCACCATTTAAAACCACGCCTGGTGCACCACACAAGTGTTTCTGTAGAGGAGAGCTGCTGCTCAGCCGTCCTCAAAGCTTCAGGTTTCTTAGGTGAAGCAGCAACAAAGTGGAGAACTGCCTAATTATGAGGCCACGTACTTGGGGCAGCTGACACAAATTACCCAGAACTAGAGCAAAGAACAATTTTCATGTGTATGATATTACCCACTATGTGTGCAGTTCTGGCATCTSTAAATGTTTCTCAAGTGTCTGCATCTTGAATGCTTTCAGTCTCCCAATGCTGTTTTGCATTTAAATGGCTTCATGATTTTGTATTGACTGGGCTGAAGAATTAAGTTAGTCATTGATATTAGTAATTTTATTTTCATTTTTTTCCCAAGGGAATAATACTGCTAGAACACATATATTGTTATTCAAATTTCAGTTTTATTTATCATTTCTTTCTCTCTCTGATGAAACCAAACTAAGTTTTCACTCATCTATATTTATTAACAACGGCATTTGGCATTATGAATGATGATTCTTCTTACTGTAAGCAGGTAAGAAAAGATAAACAGAGATGGAAACGGGAAAATGAAGTGTAAGTTCAGGTAAAGGTGAGTGATGAATATTTAGCATCTTTGAAGCAGAGTTCTAAATATACAATCATGGTGGCCTCAGAACCTTTGAAGAGAGATGCAACACAGCAGCAGAATTGGCAGTCTGAATCTGGGGCAGGGTGTCATTCTGTGCAAAATTTAAAAGATGGGGAAGGATTTAGCTCATGTAAAGGATGTGTTATACATTTTGGATAGATGATAAAAATCTCATATATACCATAGCCACAAACTGACCATGAAATAATTAAAAATTGGCCAAAATATAGTGGGGCTAGAACCTCAGAGAGAATTATGTTTTCTTGAACAGGCAGTTGTTGGTTATATTTTAGATAAGGAAAACAGAAAGGCTTTCTAAGTCAATGATTATACCTATGAATTTGTTCATTTCCTTTAGAAAATGCCAACTCCAATAAAAAAAAATAACAGTTTTACTTAGGAAAACCAGACATTTAGCCAGCTCTGATTTGTGTGAATGGATGTGTATGCATGTCTACTTTTGTTTATTTTTGTTTGTTTGTTTTATGCAGTCCTAGGGCTTAAACCAGGACCTCACACATGCTAGACAAGAGCTTTATCACTGAGCCATACTCTAGCCTTTATAACCACACCTTGTTAGTTTTTAATTTCTTTCCTCACAATAATCCCTTCTTGTTGCCAGTGATTTTGGATGTCTTCTTCCTGTTCTTTGTAATTTACTATTTCTATTTTAATTGGCATTAGACATTCTATAGAATGAAGGTTGGACTGGATCTAGTTGTATTCTAAGAAAAAGCAGGGGTCTTTTTTCTATATTTTTAGTCAGTGCAGTGACTACAGTGATACCACAATCAAAGTGATAGGCAATCAAAATGAAAGAGAGTTGTTTAGAATGAATAACCCTCCTGTGTTACCTCTCTAATTCCTAGTTTAGTTTTCATTTTGCTATGAAAATGAAGAATATCCTGTGTTTTATGACTTTTTAAAATTTATGTTTTAATTGACATGAATTGTAAATATTTATGGAATGCCACACAATGTTTTGATACCTGTGTAATGTTCAAATCACCTTAAACATATATATATGTATCTTCAAATGTCTATCATTTCTTTGTGGTGAAAATATTCAAAATCCTTTCTTCTCGATTTTTTGGAATACACTATACATTATTATTATTATTATTATCTGTAGTCACCCTACTGTGCAATAGAACACCAGAACATGTGGTCATATACCTATAACATAGTACCTGACAACCAACCTTTCCCCATCCCTTCTTCCTCCCTACTCTCCCTGAAGAATATCTGAAATAATTTGTTCCACTAGGATATTTTTCTTTATGATTTGATTCAATCTTCAACTATCTCCACTATTTCAATCAATGTGAAGTGAAATATCATTTAGGAGGTATTCTTCTATGCACTCATGATTTTTGCATACTCCATCAATAATCTTCTAATGCCTTGCTACTCAGAATTGGTCCAGGGACAAACAACATTGGGGTACAAGGGAGCTTGGTAGAAATGCAGCAAGCATCTCAGATCCCACCCCTCAGATTCATCTAATTTTACTTTACATTTTACGTTTT